CAGAGCTGCCCCGCTCGCGCCCCGGGAACGGCCGAGTTGCTGCAGAAGAAGACCTGCTGCATTTCAGGCAGGGTGGCTTGGTTTCCTTTGGGCTATGGAAAAATAATACGGCATGAGAATATCACGTAGCTCTTGTTTCTCCAAACAGCTTTTTTTTCCATTGCCCCCAAAGGCCACAGTATCACCTCTCTTCTTATTTCTCTTTATGTCATATGCAGTTAATTATTCATCCCCTTTTTGTGCTGCTCCATCAGCAGATGTGAACTCTGCTTCACCCTCGTCTCCTTCCAGGGTGCTTTTGTCCCGCTCCGAACGGCTTCGGCTGTGAACCCCTGCCGTAACCAAAGAGGGGGGGCCAAGGCCCGGCCCCGGGCTCGGGGAAACACCAGTCCCCAGGGCAGAGCAAAAGAAATTTTGGCTGTGGATCCTCACACTCACAACCTGAACGGTCTCTGGGGACCTGGATAGCTCTTTCTTGTGAAGCTGCAGGTACCATGATGGGTTTAGCTTCCGGGACCACATTCCCATGCCCCAGAGGGTTCCTCTGACCCAGTGGGGTGCTGCGCAGCAGCCTTGATCTCAACTATTTCATAATTAACAGGGCTAAATGCTAGATGGAAATTTCATCCTCTCTATTAGCGATGCACAGAGTGATGCAAAAATCACTTCGGACAGCGCTAATTTGCAGCCACCCGACCCACCTGCGCTCTCCATGCTGCTGGCGGAGATGAAAGCCCTGCAGGCAGCTGCTGCAGCCGGGAGGGAGAACGGCTGCCCGGGAGCCTGCTCCCGGCCGTGCGGAGCAGCGCTGGGGCCCGGCTGCGACGAAAGCAGCTCCCGCTGCGCCCCATGCTCTCAGTGTGGGCTGCATCTGCTTTCCTCCCACCCAGGACCAGGGGGTCCTGCTCCAGAGTGTCCTGATGTGCCCTGCGATCCCACCAGCACCAACCCGGCTGCTCCTCGGGGCTCGGTACGATGAGCCCCCTGCATAATATGCGCAGCAAATGGTTACTCCGTTTCTCGCTCTGCCTGGCACCCATCACTGCATCTTCAAAACGATGCAGCTTTGCTTATCTCCATCCCTTCTAGGCAAACCAACAACCTGGTGTCCTTAATGGCTTTCCAAACGTGGATACGTTTTGGCTGTAGCCTGCGGTGCTCTGCTGCAGGCAGATGCAGCCTAGTCCTTGCACTGAGACAGAGGGAAGTGAAGATTAGATGGAGGAACTGGGCTTTCTGCCCCTGAACCTAGAAGAGATGTGGTGTCTGGTAGCTAAAGCAAAAGGCCAGGATCTGGATATCTTATACTTTAATTGAGCTTGTTTAATGCTTAATGTAGGGGATGAGGTGCTGGGATCATTTCCCAGCCTTGAAAGTTTGTTCTCTGAATACATCTGCTGGCTGTGACATGGGGAGGAGCATCAGCACCCCTGGCCTCTGTCCCCAACCCACAGTTTCTGCAAAGCACCCCCTTTTTTGAATATCAGCAGGTCCAGCATTTGCTTAATAGCTGTCTCCTATGAGAGGTGTAGCTGGTCCCCTTGCAAAGCAACAGATTAGCTGCTCAAATAGGATTTTTTTTTGTCTACCGTATCATGAGAAAAAACTACGTTGTTAGTCCCTGCTTTCTTCCTGCCACAGCTTGTTCAAGACAAAATTTGGATGAAAAAAACAAGGGCAGGGGATGCGCAGGTGGCTCAGCAGTCCTGTGACGGGCTGGCTCAGGTGTCATTCCCAGGCCATTCGTTGTTGGGGTCTTGGCTGCTGCTAAGGACCTTAGGCAGGACCTGGGCAGCTCTTGGCCCGAGCCCTTTCTCTCTCCCTCACATCTCACCCTGGGAATAGGGCCTCAGCACGCTCCTGCTTTCATCTCGCCCAAGGGGAACACAAAACCCAGCAGGCTCCAAAACCCACTTGAGGTTTGGCATTAACAGAGCCCTCGCAGACAGAGCTAAGCACGCTGCGCCCGGGGCAAGGTCTCCTTCCAGGGCGCTTCTCGCCCAGGAGCCAGCTGGCCGGGAGGTATGAGCCTGGCGTATAAAACTAGACTCCCGCTGAACTATTCACTTTCCCATTGGGACGCAGCATGGTCCGTGCTCACAGCACACCCCGCGAGGGTGCTGGGAGACGAGGTGCTCGCCTGGCTCGGGCTCGTTCCCCAGAGGGCAGCAGCCCCGCGGCTCAGCCTTACCTTATCAGCGAGACCCTCGGTGTCCTCGGTGAGCAGGTACACGGCCCCGCTCTCGGCCAGGAGGATGGCGGTGTCGGTGGTGGAGGAGGACCTGGGCCGGCCCTGGTGCTGGTGCAGGATGGCGGTGAGGCTGCTGTCCTGGGGGGCCCGGCGGCCCAGGTGGGG